ATAAGACATTGACTAGATAATCACTTTCTCCGTTATTTTCTCAAGAAGACGTAAAACCAGCTCACAACTCGTTATCTGTTCCACAGGAAATCATAATATTATCCTTAATTAACGAGGTAGCTGACGCCAAAAGATAATAAGCCTTACCCACAGTAAAAGTGAGCAAACTGTATTTGTGCAATTTATCATACCAAAATACTCTCAGTGGAACACGCTTTTAGATTACGAATTCTAGATCTTCCAAGTTATCTTCATTTAATAACTCACTTTCATAAAAATGTGCTCTGAGCAGTCTTTTTTGATGCCTGCGAATACCTTGCATAAATCTGGCATTTGAATCACTGTCTCGCCCACATTCCCTCCCAGCCTAGTGTTTGACAGGTCCTCTGGCAGCTGCTTGGCTATTGAGAAACTTCCGGCTGCAGTAAGATATTCTTGAGCCTTACCGTTCAACAGCAATTGAGGGTAGAGCTGTTCCAGACATGAATCGGAGAACTTTTGGAGAAGCTTGCGACAGTCGCTGAGCTAAAGAGAGAGAGAGAAAAAATAATGAAAGAGTTTAATTGCTTCCAAATTTCTGAGCCCAACTTTACCCACTTTTGCTATCCAACGCCGTGATTATATTAAATGCTTTTCTACATATTTTGTGCCAATTATTTTAAATTTGCTTTTCCTCTCATTGCATTAAGCATTTCTCCTAGAGCCATTATATTTGGCAAATTCCACCAATGGAGAAATAAGCAAATTGGCCTCGGTTTTTCAACTTGGCTTTATTTTCAACAAGATTTCCAGCACACTCGAGGAAATGAGGAGTGTGAATAACTCTCACAAAATCCGCTTAAGCGGTTCCACTTTGATTAGATTAAAATAAGCATTTTTAAAATCGGGCCAATGAAGGAGACAATATGAGGATATTGAATAGGCGAATGTACCAGGACGGAAGGAGAGATTCCAGAACCATTTGGCAGGCAGTAGGTCAATGGATGGATTTCACGTGTCTCTTTGATGAACAGTAGTTTGTTGCTGGGACTGGCATGGTTCATTGGCGATTCAAACTGCAATGTCTGTGAAATGTCTGGAAATATGTCAAGTCCATGGTCCGACGCTTAAATGTATCATGACATCTATGGCGGAGGAATATGTGCATTCTTCTAGGCCCCCATGGCAACACGACTAAATTGCCTTTATGAGATCATAGAAGTTATATAAAATACAAGGAGATCACTACTGTACTGAAAGATTTTCAACTATTTCACATATGCAGGTCAAAATGCCATAGTGCTATTGTATCGGAATGTCCACTTTGATAGGAACCCTATCGATGCGGTACACTCAACTAATATGAAACAAATCGAATGCAAAATTCAGCTAGCACACGAATTGTCTGATCCACATGAAAATAGCTTTGATGTGATACAGATATATATCTTCTCTCTACACAACTTAAGCTAAAGTTAGGGAAGCTATCACTTGTTTTCATGTTTGATAGTTTCGAGGCGATCAGCCTAGGTCGCGTATGGAAATTTAAGGACTGATAGTTGACTTTTTCCCATAACAAGATGAGCAGAGCTCGCAATGACATTGAAGTTCGCATGCCATTAATTCTCGAAATGTATCCTCATCCAGAATGTACTTCCGCTTCGAACCTGTTCGGGTCCCCTCAGCACCCTTAATGGGACTCGAGCTCGGGCAATTAGCACTATGTTGCATAGCTAAAAATGGCAGTAGGTGACAGGGCAGGCAAGAATTTTTAGTATATCCAGAAATTTTCACTGCCAAATCTCATATTGAGTGTCATTGAGGCAAGTCTATATTTGCTATAACAATTGAATTGTATTCACCCTATTTCGTTTAAGATGTTGAAGGACTGGCAGTTGATTTTTCCCACAATGAGGTGAGTAGAGCTGACGTTTACATTGCATTTCACATAAACTTGCTTCCCAAAAGATGTTTTCCTCCAGGGTGGACAACAGTTTCGACCCCTTATAGGTCCTATCAACACCCCCAGTGGGAGTCGAACCATGACAGTGCAGCATCTGAACTTGACACTTAAACACCAAGCCACATTGCCGGCGGGTGTCCTTGGGTCACAGAGTAGATATGAATTTTAAGGAATATCAGGTAGAAGAATTGTCCCACAATGATATGAGTAGAGCTGACGTTTCTATTGAATTTCACATAGCCTTGCTTTCCCAAAAGTTGTTCTCATCCCGGCTGGGGTGGACTGCAGCTTCGACCTCGCATCGGTCTTATCAACATTCCCAGCGGAAGTCGAACCGTGACAGTACAGATTAGGAGCTTGACACGTTAACCACTCGACCACATTGTCACGAATGCCCTTATGTCACAGGGCAGATGTGAATTTCAAGGAAGGCCACGCCTTTTGCCATATCATATTCTTTGGCGGGATTGTCGATGAAGCAAACGTATATTTGCTATAACAATCGACTGCGTTACTTTTTTTTCGTATTTAACTACATCTCATATTACTGATTTACTAGTGATCTCGAAACTTTACTTAAATACGAACAATATGTAATGTAGTCGATTTTTATATCTAATATACGTTTTATTCATCGACAATCCCACCAAAGAATATGATATGGCAAAAGGCCTGGCCTTCCTTGAAATTCACATCTGCCCTGTGATCCAAGTGCACTCGTGGCAATGTGTCAGGCTCCTATTCTGTACTTTCACGGTTCGACTCCCGCTGAGGGTGTTTATCAGACCGATACCAGGTCAAAGCTGCAGTTCATTCTGGATGAGAACAAATTTACTCATATCATTGTGGGATAATTCTACTACCAGTCCTTCTTGAACTTAAACGAAATAGGGTGAATACATCACATAGATCATATTTACTAATCACTCTTTCAAAAACGAATGAAACCCTGAGTAAGTACGTATCTCATTCAAAACATCAAATATTGCAGGAGATCACCACGTTAAATAACTAATCCCACGTCTTCATTAATAAATAGTGCAGTAAAACACCAGGAAGAAGCCAACCCGTTCATCTGCCGCACGGTTTACTCTTTCTTGGAGAAAGCCAACGTCCAACTACACCGAAGGAATAGGCCTTTGTGAACCATAACCAATAATTAATAAATAGAGAGTACCTTGTTTTGAATCCGTTTTTTTGACGTCAAAAAAGTGTGAGAACTCAATTTTTCATTTAAGATTCCTAAGTCTATCCACAAGGCACACAAGTTTACTAACAATTTCGACTACTTTAGTACACCTTTGCCACAACGGACTTGATTCAAATCAGAGTTTAATTTCGAAGTAGATGCATGGAAATTATGTTTTGGCATACAAAGAAGCGACATCAAGTTGCCATTCTAGTTCAACAGGCAATATAGTCTGAAATAAACTTGTGTATGACAAGTTTAGGGGCAAGCAACTATGATTTTCTACCTTGTTTTTCTTCTTGTAAAAGTGTTAAACTGTAGCAAATGCAACGATTGGCTGCAGCCTCATCGTTACGGGCAACGCAACTATGCCTTTTGTATAACCGTAAATGTCTGATTTTCAACCAAAAATGAGACAAAAGAAGTTAACATGATATCATATTTCGGCTCACCAGTGATTTATGCTTGATTTTAGCGTTTTCTTCGATGAGCTCCTCCAGTGAATCAAAGGCTGAAGTGACATGGTTG